TTCATAAATTTCTAACCTCGTAGCTGATTGCTGAGGAGTAAGTTTGTGAGAGACTAGTCTACAGCTCTTTTTCACCTTCCACACGGAGAGTGAATTTAGACTAACACGATCTTTCGATACAACACACTTCCTAGAAAGTTCGCGAATATACTCGTGGAAGGATTTGACTCAAGAGCTTCCTGTAGAACCTCATCAATACCCATTAATGTTCGTCCAGAGCCCTTTTTTCCTTTCCAATGTCGTATCTCCATTATTAAATGTTTCAAACCAACGTCGCGCAGTGCGCTGGTCAAGAACACCTTTTCCCTCATATTTAATAATTTCACGAGCTGGTTCAGCGGCTGTGACTTTTTTTTCCAGTATTACCTAAAAAAAAAACGAGAATTTTGTAGGGTACTGTCATGTTTCTTATTTGAAACAAATAACTAAACTGAGACTTTTTTTTTTTTTAAAGTTGAATGGTATTAAACAAGCTTAGAGACTGTTCTAAAGAGATTATTAAGTAGTGGTAAGTATTAAATATAATTACAATATTTACAGTCCTATGAAATCTATTTTGCTTTAAAAATCTATCAACATATTTATTAAAATTGCTGAATAAAATATTCTTGCATATTCAGGGTACTTAAGAGCTTAATATGTATATTTATAATTATGAATTTGATGCCTACAACATTAAGACCAATTTGGGGGAATTACAGACAAAACTAAAAAAAAAAAAAAAAAATAAGTGACATAATGAGATACAGTTGAACCACAGAACTTGATTCGATTGAAAAATCAATAACCAGATTTATTGGTTTTTGCTCAAATAAAGAAAAATATTTGAAAATCTATAATTTATAGTAACACTGCTCTTTGTTTTCTTACTCGATAAACGTTTCTTGATGCGAAATTGTAAATCTGATTCACTTCCATTTTTTATGTTTTAACATCCTAATGAGATCGCATTATACCATAATTATTTTTTTAAAACAAAGTCCATATTAATTTTTTTTTCAATTTTGAATCGTTCTTACTTTTTTTTCATGATGTAAAATGAAGTATACAAATATATATATATAATTATAATATATATAATACGGTACTTATTTCCGAATATTTGTTTTTTAAAACAGTTTCATAAAAAATTAAATTTACTTCTCCATATTGTTTTAAAACAAATAAACATTAGTAGACTGACATATAAAATATAAATGAAAGATGTAAACAATTATTTCTATTCGGCTGAAAAACGGTTTATCCATTGTCATCCACTAAAACCTCAACCAAACCGATACACTCAATAATATCAAGGGCAATCATTTGTTTTTTTTAGCACCGCTATGGTCGTCCACTGATTCTAGCGAATCCATAATTTGAATTTAGTTATGTGAGAAGTAACGAATTTGTATGTGCAGAATTATAGTGGAATATATCTTCAAATAATTTTTAAAACGTATAGTCCGTCGTACAGACCCCTTCTTATCGAATTATTAGCATCCGC